GCCAAAACGAATCGAGATAGATATGGACAAATGTATACATAAATGATCAGAATGAAAGAGAAGTCGATTAAGCCATGTCTGTCTGTCCGTCCGTCTGTCCGTGTACACGATAACTCCAGCAAAAATTGAGATATCTCAACGAAATTTGGTGTGTAGGTTGCCCTTTATCCAAGGTAGGTTGGTATTGAAAATGGGCGAAATCTGACTGTAACCACGCCCACTTCCTATATAACGGTATTTTCGAGAAACTGCGATATTTAAGTAAATATTGGAGCAAATTGTTGAAAATTAGTATGTGGAGTAGAATTGAAATTCTTGGAAAATGTGCCTGACCCCGCCCTCTTATGATGAAATGCCGTATCTCAGTAGCCGCTTCACCAATCTTTATCAAATCTGTTGAAAATCTTTGAAATTGGGCAATAACCACGCCCACCTTCCATAAAATGGAAGCAGAAGTACGAAAACTGCGATAAATCAGTAACTACTGGAGTTAATTCACTTAAAATCGATGATTACAATAACCACTTATCGAAAAATTAGAATACAAATTTTTGGGTAATGGGCGTGGCGCCGCCCATTTATGACCACAAATGTGTATCTTGGTAACCGATTTATCAATTTCTACCAAGCTCGGTGCACTTAATAACCTTGGTACGGAAAACGAATTTGTTTAAAATTATTCAAATCGGACTAAGATTAGACCAGCTTCCCGTATAACGGTTAATTTCAGAAATACGAAAACTCCCACATTTCAATAACTGCGGACGCTAATTTACTCCAAGTTAATAGCCACAACAATCTCCTAACAATAAATAATTGCAATAGACCTTTACGAATTGGGCGTAGCACCGCCCACTTTATAATTACAAAGGTGTACCTCGGTAACCACTTAATCGATTTGTACCTAACTAGGTTTAGGCATTGTTAGCCCTAGCAGCAGCCAGTGGGCTCATCCGTTACACATGGCCCCAAAGAAAACAGCAGGTGAGTGGCTCCCTTGTGGCGATTATCGTCGCTTAAACGCAGTTTCAAAACCGGATCGCTACCCTATCCCGCACATTCAAGATTTGTCACAGAGAATGTGTGGAAAAACGATATTTTCCTTAATCGACTTAGAGAGGGCCTACCACCAGATTANTAATTTCTACCATGCTCGGTGCACTTAATAACCTTGGTACGGAAAACGAATTTGTTTAAAATTATTCAAATCGGACTAAGATTAAACCAGCTTCCCGTATAACGGTTAATTTCAGAAATACGAAAACTCCCAGATTTGTCACAGAGAATGTGCGGAAAAACGATATTTTCCTTAATCGACTTAGAGAGGGCCTACCACCAGATTAGGATCGCGCCGGAAGATCGCGAAAAGACAGCAATAATCACGCTGTTCGGCCTGTATGAGTTCAATGTCATGAACGCTGGTCAGACTTTCCAGCGCTACATGAACCAGATTTTCTTTGACTTGGATTTTGTCATAATTTATATTGACGATATTTGCATAGCGTCAGCGACTATAGAAGATCATTTAGAAATCGTCTTGCAACTTTTACGTAAACATGGTCTGAAAATAAACGTCTCAAAATGTGTTTTCGCGCAAACCGAAGTGACGTTCTTGGGGCACCGCATAACAAAAGATGGTGTCGCGCCGACCGAGGAAAAAGTGAACGCCATAGTGAATTTTCGGAAGCCCACAGTTGCACACGAGCTACGCAGATTTATGGCAATGCTAAATTTCTACCGACGCATGCTCCCTAACGCGGCGCATACGCACGGCAAACTACAGAAACTCATAGAACAATTAAAATTTTATTGAAAAGAGGTAACTTTGAGATTAACGATAAGCTAAAGGGCTGCGAGAAATGATATTTGACTTTATCTTTTGCGTTAACTGATTCATTATCTAATAATATGCACCAAACCTTTTTGCTGAACCCAGAATTTTTAACGAGAATTGGTCTTATTCGAAAACAGCTTTAACATTTTATGCAACAAAATCACTTTTCCCTTGTGTTATTATTATTATTAAAAGAACCTAAACAATTTGTTCTTACAAAATGGTTTCATAAAATGTACCTACGAGATAGATTTTTCGTATTGTACATATTGGAAAAATTCATGGAAAATTTGCTAAGTCCAACCAAAAAATTGTAGGAAAAAAGTAGAAAATTTGCTAAGTCACAAAATTATCTACAAAATTTGTAAAACAGCAGACTTTTTTATTATTTTTTTTTAATAAAGGGTAAATGAAAAACGCAAAACATTGCATTCAAAGTTTTGCAAAATACTTAAAGAAAATTACTTAGGAACGTTTTTTGTGTCTCCTGTACAATTGAAAAAAATGGACTTAGCAACTTTGCACTCTAAGCTAGCGATATGTACTTATCTGCACGTACATATGTGTGTGCACCTGAAGTATGTACACCTGGTTTACTTACATATGCATGTACACATGAAGTATGTATGTACGCATTGTATACATACATATGTATTAAACTGTATTCATATTTTCGTTATTACCTATTCATATTGTAACCTGCATACTAAATATTTTCTTCTCTACGTACATAAGTACATCGATATTAACATGTATGTATAGCTACTTGTTTTTCTAACTCATTCAATCCCGTTAGGTAAAATTACTGTTGAACTTAGTTTTGGATAAGAATTAGTATTTAAGCATAAAAGAGCTGAAATAAAGAAACAGTTGATTTTTCAACCCACGCGAGTTTTGTAACTTAACATAGAAGAGGGGTAAGGCCGCCAAAGATTAAAGAACTCCCTATCTCAGAATTCGGTTCAAAAACGCCCTATCTCAGCTGAAAATACATTGAAAATGGGCTGAGATAGGGCGTTTTTGAATCGGCGGCGGGAATAGGGCGCTCTTCAACANAGGGTAAGGCCGCCAAAGATTAAAGAACTCCCTAACTCAGAATTCGGTTCAAAAACGCCCTATCTCAGCTGAAAATACATTGAAAATGAGCTGAGATAGGGCGTTTTTGAATCGGCGGCGGGAATAGGGCGCTCTTCAACAAAATTATCAGATAGGGCGTTTTTAATCAAATTCTGAAATAGGGCCTTCTACAATCCAATTCTGAAGAAGGGTGTTCTTTAAAAGTTTTCTGAAATAGGGCGTTTTCGAACTGTCTACCGAGAGAGGTCGATCTTCCCACTCAGGTATCGATATTCAGTTCTACAAGTTTCAGTGTGTTGAGCTATTTGTTTTTTTTAAAGAGCTGTGGCCTTTTGACACTCGGCTGAAACAGAGTGAGGCTTATTTACGGTAACACTTGCGGCTTTTATATTTTGCGAAATGGTTTGAAACTAAAATCAATGGCCCGTAGTTATGGTCAAAATAAAGTCGACTTTAATGTTAAAAGCAGCCTTTTCATATAACTTTCAATGGGATATTTGCCAAAAAAGCTGCTTTGAACCAGAGTGAGATAATATAAAGTGTACCAGGTAACTGACGTCTTCATATTTGAAAGCAAAATTTGATTTTGTTATTTTTAATTCCTTTCTCGTATTCGCTTTTTTTCAATTCTGGTATTAACCCTTGGTTTTTTTGGCATGCCTCTGTCCAATTTTGGCCTAGATCCTCATCCTTCCGTACTGAAAACATAAGTACTGCAATGATATGCGTTTTTTTGTACAGGCGGCAAGAATTTCTTGGCATTTATTATTAAATTTTTTATTTAAATAAAAAAAAATTTTAACTCAAAAGGGCTAACGTGAAAGTCAAATCAAAGAAAAATTTTTGATAAGAAATTGTCAAGTACGAGTACCGAAATAGAATGTCATTGCTATCTGCTACACTTTATATTATTTCACTATGCTTTTAACTTTAAAGTCGACTTTATTTTGGCTAAGGACAATTTCATAATGAAACACTTAAAGTTCCTTTTTCAAAAGTTTTCTTTTAGTTAAAGTTTCATTTAAATGTACTTTAAACAAGAAGTGCTTTCATAATACAATGGTAATTGAATAATAACAAAAGGTTCATTTAAATGAAAATAGCAAAGTTGGCAATGCTAATGTCGGCAAAATTTCATCAGCTGGTTGTCATAAATATGTTATTATACTACGAAATACATACATAATTTTGTTTCTTACAAAAGGAACCTTTGTGTCATTTAAATTGCCATTTTGGGTACTTAACTAAAGTGCCTTTATGGGTACCTTTATCTTTAAAGTGGCTTTATGAAATCGACCAGCAAAATAAAGCATCCTTTAAATTTTAAAACATTCTTTAATTTTATTATGAAATCGGCCCTAAATACGATCACATTTTTGGTGGCTACATTAAAACCGTGGGGGGACCTCGACAACTTACGACTTAGAGCCAATTTCTCAATGAAACACTTAAAGTTCCTTTTACAAAAGTTTCCTTTTAGTTAAAGTGTAATTTAAATGTACTTTAAACAATATTTTTTTTCATAATACAAAGGCAATTGAATAATAACAAAAGGCTAATTTAAATGAAAATAACAAATTTGGCATAGCTGATCTCAGCAAAATTGCATCAGCTGATTCTCATAAATATGTAATTGTGCTACGAAAATGACATACTATTTTTTCTTACAAAAGGGACCTTTATGTCATTTAATTTTCCATTTTGGGTATTTAACTAAAGAGCCTTTATGGGCACCTTCAACTTTAAAGTGGCTTTATGAAATCGATCAGCCAAATAAAGCAACCTTTAAATTTTAAAGAATTCTTTAATCTTATTATGAAATCGGCCCTAAGAAATTTTTTTAGACTTACCTTAACTTGGTTATTTTTGCCTCCTACAACGATTACTCCAAGTGGCTTCTTTTCTACTTTCACCTCGATGAGGATCTTCTTGTTGACTTTTATTTCTGCAACGGATGGATCCTGCGGCTTTTCAGCTTCAGCTTTCGCTTCTGGTTCGGTAAAAAATAATGTGGTTATATCAATTTATTTTATACANAATTCTTTAATCTTATTATGAAATCGGCCCTAAGAAATTTTTTTAGACTTACCTTAACGTGGTTATTTTTGCCTCCTACAACGATTACTCCAAGTGGCTTCTTTTCTACTTTCACCTCGATGAGGATCTTCTTGTTGACTTTTATTTCTGCAACGGATGGATCCTGCGGCTTTTCAGCTTCAGCTTTCGCTTCTGGTTCGGTAAAAAATAATGTGGTTATATCAATTTATTTTATACATACAGGGGTTGTTCGAGTTGCAATCACAACCGCAGTGTTGCGCGAATTATTAAAGTATCACGTTCGGTGTCAATTTCTAGCAACGTTTTATCAATTGGGAAGTTGCAACAGTCTGCAAATTTTCATCAGCGCTGCAGTTTTGCCGCTTTTATTACGTGCCTCGGAAAGGCCCACATACAATCATTTAATTAAAAGAGGTGTGAAGTGACTTATGCCACTTTCAAAGTAAATGGCACATGGTTCAGACAAACTATTTAACAGTTGTTGCGAACAATTTACTATTTCATGCGTCAATTAAAAAGTGTACATATGTATACAAGTGTACATATATATACATTAGACTGCATCGCTTCCCATACAAAGAAAAATGGGTACTATTTTTCCATTAGAATTATAAAATATATTATATTTTAAGACGTCCACCAAAATATTTCTGAAAAATATTAAGATTTAAGTGAGCTGGACCGATTTGAAAATACCTCCAAAAATGGAGTTTTTCATGAATAAAATAGCTTAAGCTTAAAAAATATTGCATGAAAATATTTTAAAAAAATTAAAAAAAAACTTAAACGGAATCGTAATGATGAGATTTTTGANTCACATTTTTGGTGGCTACATTAAAACCGTGGAGGGAGCTCGACAACTTACGACTTAGAGCCAATTTCTCAATGAAACACTTAAAGTTCCTTTTACAAAAGTTTCCTTTTAGTTAAAGTGTAATTTAAATGTACTTTAAACAATATTTTTTTTCATAATACAAAGGCAATTGAATAATAACAAAAGGCTAATTTANATTCAAACTCATTAAAAGGATGAAAGAGAAAGGTAGGGTGAACGAACGTCATTCAAAGTTGAATTAAGATGTGTTGGTACTTGAAAAAAAAATGGGACACGGATGACTTTTTTTTGGACAGAAATAAAAACAGTGTGAAAATACCTTTCTATCGGGATCCCATAAGTCTAAATAAGAATAGATTTTGCCCAGTTGTTCAAGTTTTTTGTAAATCAATCTTTGAAAAAAGTAAAAAAAAACGGCATCAAAAATCTCATTCTTACGATTCCGTTGAAAAGATTTTTAAATATTTTTATGCAGATTTTTTAAGCTTAATCTGTTTTGTCATCTGAGGGGATTTTTTTCAAAAAGTTCTTTAAGAAACTATTTTTATTTATAAAAAACTTCATTTTTAGAGGTATTTTCAAATCGGTCCAGCTCACTTAAATCTTAATATTTTTCCGAAATACTTTGGCGAACGTCTTAAAATATCATAAATTTTGTAATCCTGGCGGAAAAACCGAAACTTTTTTTGGTGATGCAGTCTAATATACATAAATACATACATATCATGATTCAATAATTAATATTTATAATATAATTAATATTTATAATATAATTAATATTTATAATATAAATAATATTTATAATATAAATAATAAATATTTATTATTCAATCATATATACATATTAGACCATACCAGAGAAAAAGTTCGCCGTACACTTTCGAATCCAAAGCGATTTCGAAAACAATTTGTTTTTGTGGCCGAACGTAGGGGTCGCCTTTTAAATTTTTTCTTCATATCTTCGGCATTTACAGTCGGATCTTAAAGTATGATATATCGATGTTCTTGTCTCGGGTAAACAATGTTTTTGTTCCAAGTTCATTGACTTCAAGAGTTCCGTTCTAATACATACCCTCCATACATCTCAATCCTTCTCACCCTAACGTACCACCCTATTGTCAGTAAATTACCAAACTTCCATTTAGGAAGTATTTCGATTATTACAGTAGAACTATTTAAAACAGTCATGCCCAGCGCAGGGCACTTGCATATGGAATTCTGCCAACGCAGGGCACTTGCTTTTGGAGTTCTGCCGACGTTGGGCATGACTGATTTAAAACAAAAATTATTGCCGCATGTAGGTGTCACCCAAAAATGTAAATTCTGTGGTCATAAGCAATAACCGCCTAAGTCGAAAAACCTGAATTCGATTGGATTGTACTGTAAACCTTATTGGAAAACCAAAATATGTTCGTCTATTACTTTTTAAATAGCCCAGCTGGTGAGATGGGGATTTCACGTACACATGGAATATAACAACGGTGGGCAAACGCGACTCTTTGAAGGTGACATTAGTCAAGAACCCAGAACTTATACTTAAACGCTGTCTGTATACGCAGAATTTTGTTGATTACTGGAGCCCGCCGAGAATACGCAGAAACTAGCTGTTTACTTCAGTTTTGCTTACTACAGTGTTGCCACTCATCCATATAGGTCGCCATATTTACATACATATAAACATCTCTGCACACATACAAACAGTTTGCTAAAATGACGTCACACGAACAGCTGATTCTGTCAAATTCGCCAAGAACAAAGTGGCGGTACTGCTGATTGCGCCACCTCTGTCTCCCTACATCATGCTGATTTACGGCGATTTCGTTTCTACAAAAAATGTTGCCTTCTCATCGCCCTCTTCTTAGTGTTTGTTGGTTGCAGAATAAAAATGTTTTTGATGTGTCTCAAATTATTTTTTTTTTATTAAGTTTTGAAGCTAAACTACGTCCTTTTGTTCATGATCTCAAAAAAAATATTCATATTTTATCCATGATAAAAATATAGTAAGGTAGAACCGCTGAGAGGCACTTTTAAAATTCTTGACGTTTCAAAGAACTTAATTTTTAAATTTACTCACAAACTCACACACACATTTTCATTTTCAATCTCAGGCAGCAACAATTTCGAACAATTTCATGTTTTTATTTTCACTTTTATATGATTTTAAAATGTTAGCAAACTTCAAAAAAAAAGGAACAGTCCAGCGTCTTCGTCTTGGTCTGCAGGCTGCATCGGAGATACACCCGTTAAATTTAAACGTAGAATACGTGGTATGGTTAAGAGCATATCCCAGTCAATAGCGAAAGCACACACTCAGAAAAAAAGATCGATAACAAAAGCGATAATAATATCGATAGAAAAATCGATAACTTAATCGATTACAAAATCGATAAAAAAACCGATTACAAAATCTATCAAAGAATCGATTATTTATTTATTTATTTAATAATAATCCAGAAATTATTACATTTCATAAAGATTACAACGACTTAAAAATAAGAAAAACAAACTAAGTAATTAATTCATTTAATATTGATTTAAAACGGGTTTCCGAGTAAGAAAAGTCTAGAACAGAAGAATTTGAGAGCAAGTTGAATTCCTTTAGAGCCCTGAGTATGGGAGCATTAGAAGCATATTGAGTTCTTATCTTCCCCAAGGAGAAAGTTACGTGATTTCTCAAACATCTCTGAGGCACAGCGAAATGGATACGTCCAAGCAAGTATGGGCATTCTATGACACCACGTACTAAGTTATAGACAAAAGTAAGGGAGAGAATAGACCACCTACAATCTAAAGACTTAAGATTAATAAGTAGACATCTACCACGGTAGGAGGGAATTGGGTGGACAAAATGCAGAGAATGAAGGGCAAAACGAACAAATTTTTTTTGGATTCGTTCAACCCTATTGATATGGCAAGCGTAATAAGGTCTCCAAATTACGGCGGCATAGTCTAACTTGGAGCGCACCAGGGAGGTATAGAGTGACTTTAGGGTATACGGATCAGAAAAGTCTGAGCTGAAACGTCGAATAAATGCCAACATAGAGTATGCTTTAGCTATCGTGCAGATTAATTGACTTTGAAATGAGAATCTATAGTCAAACACCACGCCTAGATCTATAATTTCAGTAGGGTTACCCAACTGAGAACCACCAATAAATATGGTAGGAAGTTGGGATAGGAGAGCGGGATTTAGTGAAGGTGACATGGTGACACTTATTTATATTTAAATTTAGCATGTTCATATTACACCAAGCGACAACGTTATCCAGATCCCTTTGAAGGTTCAAAGAGTCTGAGGGACAGTCTACCGTGGAGTAAATCTTCAGATCATCAGCATACAAAAGAAACTCTGAGAACTTAAAACAACTAGAAATGTCGTTTATAAAAATTACAAAAAGAAGGGGTCCTAGTATACTCCCCTGTGGAACACCAGAGGTCGCAATAAAGGGATGGGAAGATACATCGTCAACGACAACAACACAATTCCGGCGAGATAGATATGATTTCATCCACTTCAAAAATATTGAGTGGACTCCTAGGCTGTGTAACTTTGTAAGTAACATAGAGTGACTAACCTTGTCGAACGCTTTTGAAAAGTCCGTATACACAGTGTCGACTTGAACATGATTGTGAAAAGCCGATATACAGTATTCAGAAAAAACTGCCAGGTTAGAAACAGTAGATCTACCGGCTATGAAACCGTGCTGATTAACACAGATCAAGCGTTTAATTGAGAAGTATAATTTTTGTTTTACGATGTATTCGAATAATTTTGAGACCGTGGATAATTTGGAAATAGGTCTGTAGTTAGCTATATTATTCTTATTCCCACTTTTAAATATGGGGTTGATAAGAGTGACCTTCCAGGCATCAATAAACTCACCAACCTCGAGAGATTTGTTGAAAATTAGTTAAAAGAGGATATGCGAATGCGTAGCAGCACTTGAGAAGGTATGAAGACAACCCATCCACATCAGTTTGAGTTGACGATTTGATTTGTCGAATACCGTCTACAACATCTTCAATGGTTAAAGAGAGAGTTCCAAAATTAGCTGGGGAATCGTTGTTCAGGAGATTATTTCCACTTACATCAGCTTCCAGTTCGAAGTTGGAGTTAAAGAAATCTGCAAAAAGATTTGCAGCCTCAAGAGAAGTGTGAGCGTGGATATCATTATAAAATACTACTGAGGGAATGCTTGAACACGATTTCTTCGACTTTACATACCTCCAGAAAGCTTTAGGATTGGATTTTATCTCAGACTCTGAATTTCTGAACATAGTTACGCTTTAGCTCCTTGCTTAATGATTTAAACTCCTTCGAGTATTGTAAGTATTT